GTATTAAAATTAGATTTATAAAATAATGAATATTGGAGATATAAGGATTTATGTGACTGTATGTTTTTGTTAGGTAGATCCTTTTTAACACTCTGTATTGCGGTTAAATTAAAAGTACACCCTTTTCCCATACGACTATGTTTTTGTCATTTGACCCAATGATCCAATATCTCATATTTATCACGCCTAGCTCGGAAACATCCTGTAAATTTAAATGAAGTGTTAATTTAACTATATGAAAAAATAACAGCACTTTTATGAAAAAATTCTTTATAGAAGTGTTACATGTATATCGAAATTAATTAAACAAATAATTAATATTGTTTATGTGCTTATAAATTTTTTATTATTTTAATGAAAATCATAAATATTAAAAATTATTCAGCCACGCCATATACTATTTCAACAATTTCATATAAAATAAATATATATATTAAATATTGATGTGCCAATTTCATGTTTTTTAGTTTTATTTACGCTTATTTTTCTGTAATCATTCACAGATGAATCCTTGACATGTAATGTGTGTGATAGAGCCTTTCATTGTCATAGGCAATTGGCGTCGCATCAGCAGAAAAAACGACATTTTGGGTAAGTGTCAAGCAATAAAATATTTATTCTCACATATTATCCTGTCACTTTTGTGAAAGTCCTTGCCGCTTACGAGACTCGTAGCTTTATTCAGTTGTTGCTTTATTGTTTTTTATATCTGTTTTTTAGTATATATATTTCAAGAGAGAATACTAGAAGACTTAAGAATCAAATAGCAATTCCTTTTGAAGACTTTATTTGCATTTTTTCTCCTTTGTTAATTTAATTTAGTCATGTGTTTGTGACATATTATTTATACATAGGATTTCTATATAATTGACAAACAATTTAAATGAAAATGTTTTCAATTTTGAGACACTTTTATTTAACTGACATGAATAACATTGTCATAATAAAAAAATTGCTTTTATAATTGCTTTATTTCAAGATAAAAAATTAAAGCATATATATTTAATTTTTAAATATAATAAAAATATAAGAGTAGCGGTGATATACTTATATAAACTCTAAACAGGCTGTAATGTATTGTCAAATAGACATTCCATATTCTATATATTCAGTGGTTCTATATTCAAAGTATATGACTCATGTCGCTTTTTATTAAGTTATTGCAAAGATTAAACTAGTTAACTGATTAATAACTATGACGAACTATCGTCACTTCATCCAAGTCCAAGTACACAAATCAGATTTACTTTTTTACTTACATTAAAAAAAGTTCTAGTATTCTTAGATGTGGACTTAATGTTATAAAGCTCTTATTACACGTATTGCAACAATACGTCATTATACTCGTATAATTGGTTCATATTTTTTCTTCTACATATCATCTATCAATAGTTTGGTTTCCTTAACGTTAACTAAAAGATATTGTTTTGATACCTATTTTCATGAAATATTAGTGATATATAATCCAAACAAAAAACTGTATGCTTACAATAAAATTTAATTTTGACTACAGAATCTAAACAATCTAAGGAACATGTAGAAAGACATATGATGAATGGTCATATCAATGCTTTTCTATTTTTTGTCATGACAATGAAGCTATGTTATGTTGACAGTCAAATCTCAATTGTCAATGTCATACTATTATTACTTTTTTGAAATATTTTTTTTTGTGTGAATATGCTCAATTTATAATTATTTGGTTTTAAAAGCCGCCAATTTCAACATTTATTACTGATTTATTACTTATAAAATTACTGAGTAATACTGTAGTTAGAAAGCCTCGTCACCGTGATTTTGGTTTAATAAACTTTAGTTTTCTTCTTGTTAATGTCAAATTTTTAACTGGTTATTATCAAAAATAATTAAAAATTAAATGTAAACAAGACAATCTGCATAACATAGACCTAAGACTATAAAAGCTAAAGTCTTAGCACTTGTCTTATCTGTATGGAGTTTATTTACGTATTACACTTCATAATTTTTATGTACATTATTTCTGAAAATTTATTTTAAATTTAGAATCAATTCAATTAAAATTTCAAGTCTGTCTTTCAATTTAATAAATTCTTATTTAATATATATATAACGCAGAATTTCTTAAGCAATTACGTCAGTTGCTGAAACAACAAAATAATTAACTGTCAAGAAAAGTCAAACCCACACTTGAAGTGTATCCTTAACGGCAGCTTAGAACAACTTACAAGAGCAATTCTGGACAATGTTAACAATGGAATTATGTGTTCCAGCATATGTTGTTGTGTAATAATACTTCAGTTAGGCATCAACTACTCAAGTGGACTTATTTGTAATTATATTAGCATTCATGACGCAATTAATGCCAAAAGGAAAAAAAATCTCAATGGCAAAATTAAAGGAGA